AACATACCTTATGGAAGATGTTGCAGACTTAACTCAAGTATTCTACACATTTTCATTAACAAATTGAAGGACAAACTGAAGCTATCAACAGGAGCTTGGAAGACCTTATTCGATGTTGTGTGCGCGATCATGTTGCCAATTGAGATCTTGTTCTTCCTATTGATGAATTTGCTTACAATAGTTCAGTTAATCAAAGCACGAGAATCAGTCCTTTTGAATGCATTATAGGCATACAACAAGTGAACCTATTGATATGGTTCCCTTAGGACTGGATGCTTATCCTAGGATTGAGGCAAAAGACTTGGCTAAACATATACATGACATGCATGCAAAGGGTACATGATGAATTGCTTTAAGTACTAAGGGGTGTAAAGCTTTTGCTGATTTAAAAAGAAGACCTGGTGACTTTAATAAAGAGATATGATTATGGTATGCCTCTAACCTGGACGGTCCCTTTAAGGATGTCTATAAGAAACTTCATTCCAAAAAACATGTACCGATGCAGGGAGCTCTAGGATACAAAACACCTTTATCATAAACCCACTATACTTCGCAAGCAAAAACTTAATTCTCTAAATTAAATGCTCCTTACTTGAATTACAATCAATAATGTGATTAAAACAATCTCTCTAAATTAAAAAAACGCCATATCTTACCCGATAAGTTTATTCAAGATTCCTCGGTTCTACGAGATGGTTGAAGCAACCTCTCGTGAAGACCATTCACTCAAAATTAGCAAAGCTAATTTAGAAATAACTAAATAATTTTGTTGATAAACTGAATTCTACTGTTTACAGTATAAGGTGAGACCTTTTTATAGGCTTTCACCGGATAAATTCTACTAAAAAACAAATACTAGAATTTAATTAAAATTCTATTCCAAATCTAGACCTATCTAAATCCCAAAACCTAAAATAATAATAAAATAATCCTAAGAATAAAATTGACAATAAAAATTGATTAAATATTAATAAAATATTTACTAGATAAGTCTCTTCATTTTTACTAATTTCCCGTGTGTCTTTAATCTTCTTGGAGACTTCAAGTTGATGAAGAATCTTTCTTAAAAAATTTGCCATGAAAATCACATGCGAAAAAAAGAAACAGAGAGACTCCCCTTCGGCATCAAATTCCCTTGC